CAGCCAACTTGAGTGATCACCCTCTAACATCATTTCTTGCCTAAAACATGCATAGGTACATAGGGTATGTATGTACATAGATGTTACTGAAGTACAAGTATGAGCTCACGTCCACTGGGTAAGTAAGGACTACCAATTTTCACAATTGCAATAAATTGTCCGAATGCAATTTGAAATTTATCACGAATTCACGTCATCACAATTTACTAGGAATTTCCATTGCCTACCAACCGTGTGGCTGCAGACATTTTCAGGGACGTTAAATTTCATTATCTCACAGACAGCAAGCAAATCCCTCAGCAATGGCAATTGGCAGCGCGGAGACTGAGTGTGAGCGTGAGTAATGTAAGAGTCAGCGCCGTCTAGACCACGTTCCATAAGAACGCAGCGATCAGCTGAGCCAAGTCGGAATCGCAATTGGGCGACACAGGCGGATAATGCAGATGATGAAAATGAAAATGAGGATAATGATAATGATACTTGTAGCACAACTGCGCAACGTTATTTAAATATAATTTTCCAAGCGCGTATAACTGCAAATTGTGGGAATATTTTTGCAGAAAATCATTGTAATAAAAGTACAGCAACAACAGCCGAAGAACAGCAAAAACAAAAAACGCAGTAAAATCAAATGATAATCGCACGTAATCAGCGAATCGTGCAGCAGCAGATGCAAAACAACAACAACAAAATCAATTCAGCAGAAATATGCAAAACACGGACCGTGGCAAAGTTCAAGGCGCACATGTGTGCTCCCATTGCGGTCACCTGAGCGGTGGTGTCTGCACGCATGTGGTGGAAGCAAGTCACCGATGCGGTTATAAAATTATGTGTATTTGGCAATCGTCACAGCCGTTATTGAGGGAATGCAATATGTGTACAAACGAACTGCGTGGCGACCTCACGCATCTCACAGCTCATTTCGGCTAATGATTGCCAACTGCTTTGACGTGAGCGGCGTTCATACTTATTCTACACTATATATGGTGCATACGTATATTTGTAGGTGATAACATAGGTAGGTATATACATATGTATGTATGTTTTAAGTGATAATCGAATATGTGAACCTAAACATGATGAGTTCATGACACTCAAATTCGTATACTACATTTGGTATATACGAAATAATACCGATAAATAATTAGCCGCAGCGCTCCGTGGCGCCATTATCGCAAAAAAGTCGTATAATACATTCTCAGACAGTTACTGTCAAAAATTCAATGGAACTGGATTCGTTTTAAGCACGTGCGAATGTTGAGGAAAATGTAAAAGCAACAATATCGATCGGTTTTTAGAAGGAAAATTGCGCAATAAAATTGAAAAGCGTTGTATACGGTCGTCAAATACTTCGTGGCGGAGAACAAGATAATAAAACTGCACGTTTTCTTAATGGGGGCCCGGCGATTGAAGATGCTAGCGCTACTGTGATACCAATTCATATTACGAAAAAGTGGATCCGGCGAACCAGTACCGAAGCAAACAAAAGTCAAAAAGTGATAACCACTAATCTCTAACTCATCTGGTGTTATTTCCATCTATTACCTAGAGAAGAGCAAAACGATCAAAAGGCTCTATAATGCCAAATATGGTATATTTCGATATTACAGAATACAAAAACAACTATTAATCACCGAAAGAATCTCTTGTCTTTTTCAAAACAATAGTTTCAATAATTTCCGGAATAACAACTGATTTTGGACGACCTTCAGGAAATTCGTCTTAGAGTGATAAACAATGGTTCTAGAAGGAGCTTCATTAACAAAATATAAATTTAGTTCATTAATGCACTGTTGCTGTGTTAGTGCACGTAGCAAGTTGTAAAAAATAAGTGCACTTACATTTTCGCGGGTTAATTCCATTTTTTCACGTAGATGTATATTTGAAGTTACTGTAAACAATAGAAATAGCGCCCGTATGTACCTGGAAATTGTAAATAAAACGCAAAAGATTAAAGTATTCATCAGTATTTATTTTGTCGCCTTTAAAGTAATCCCAAGAAGATGTAATATACTTGTGTCAACGATTTTTCCAGCCCTAGAAACATTTCTCAAAAGCACTTTTGGGATGGCCTTCAGCGAATTTTGTTTTATCTCTTCGATTAACTCAAAACGGGTGTTCCACGGATTTAAGTTTTAAGAAGAAGAAATAATCAGACTGAGCCAAATCTGGTGAATAAGTTGGTTGATCAATAGTATTCATTGCGTCTTTGCCTTTAAATTCGGTCACAATTGTAGCTCGCTGCAATGGAGCTTCAGCATCGTGTTAAATCCATGAATTGTTCTTCTACTATTCCGAGCGATTTCGACCGATGTTTTCTCGCAAACGTCTCAATTTAATTATATTATTGACCCTGTGTCCTTCCGCAACAAATTCCTGATGCAACAAACCACGAATATCAATACAAATATACAAAAAACAGTGAGCATCACCTTGAATTTTCAGCGGCTTTGACGTGGCTTTTTGATTTCGGCCAATAATTTTTGACGTGTTGGCATGTTAAACTCATAAGCCCATATCGCATCGGTAGTCATAACGTTTTTCATGAATGTGTGCTCGGAATTTGCACGATAAAGCGCGCCCAAAAAGTACTTTTTGAAAAAAATTCAGCCTTATCAGGACGAGTCGAGCACGAACGCGTTTCATACCCAAAATATCCAGCAGAGACATTGGAATGGACCAGCGAGAAAGTTACCAAGTCAAGAAATTGCAGAAATATTATTGCTTCAAAACTTGCCAAACAGAAATTTTATAAATATTAATACATTTAACGACGCCATGACGGCTTGCTGTACAAAACCCTATAATAAATAACAATGAAAATAATAATAATCAGTTAAAGGCAAAGTCAGAAAAATTTCAGACTAATATAAAACTAGAACGCTGAATATGTCAAGGATATTTCATTAGATCAGTAGTTTTACTCTATAAGTTAAACAGTTATTTCTTGCCCATTTGTTGAACTGAAATGAACTGGTCAAGTTGTTGAAATAGAGATTTTTAAGGGAAACTAAGGGGATATATCCACTTGAAAGTCAGATAAAACGCATTTTGTGAATTACGAAAACTTTGGATTCGAATTCAAAAATCTTATTCCTTCAATAACTATTGAAACTATGTACACATGTATATCTAAGAAGGTCGTGTGAAATCGACAATGAAAACAGGGTCTCGAGGTTTGGGTACCGATTGCACTAAGTTAAAAAGTTATTACAAATATATTGATTTTATTTCTTTGTAATATTCGATATGTAGTGGTTGGCTCACCCTAATACATACATACAYATATATCCTTTGAAAAACACTTTATTTACCGTAATAAAAGTATATTATTTTTGAGTCTGCTACTATTATTTCTTCAAAACCTATGTAGTGCGCCTTAAAGTTACCCCCCCTTGGGCCAATACACTTGTAGAAACGTTTCGTTCAATCCTCAAAGAGTTGTCAAATTCACTTTCCGGATTAGCCTTCAATGCGTGTAGCGATTCGGGTTTCATTTCTTCAATTGACTCAAAACGGTTTCACCGGAGCGTTCGTTTGAGTTTGCTGAATAGTCAGAAGCCGCATGGCTGCAAATACCAAGACCCATAATTCCGGCCTCTTTTACGAATAGCCTCGTGCAAATGGTACATAACACTCAAATAGTATTCCTTGTTGGCAGTTTTGCCGGGCAGAAGGAATTTGGGGTGCCTCACATCTCGGCAATCGAAGAAAATTGCCATTATAACTTTGACTTTTGACTTGCTTGAGGTGGTTTTTTTCGGATTCGAGTCACCTTTCCCACGATATTCGGCCGATTGATCATCTGTTTCCTAGTTATAAGCATGGATACAAGACTAATCGCCAGTAATAATAAATTTCATGACATCCTGATAGTCGAAAAGCATCGTTAACGTGACGCTATTTGTGCTTTCCCTTTTCTTAGGCCCAAAAATGATTTCCACTGATCCTTCCGATATTCCAACGATGCCAGTAAGTCGATTCTCAAGCACCAATTCCATTATTTTATTGATACCGAAAATAAAATTTTATACCGCACATAAAATCATCGTAAAAATTGACGAATATACTTTAATTATTTTAAAAAGGCAACTAATGCTTATTTTAATGTGACATTTGGCTCAGTTGTTAACGCTAGCCATGCCAACCTAGAAAAATAATGGGTTTTCGCGCAAAAACAAAAAGTATTACATTAAATTTTTTTCTCACAGTAGTATATTAGCCGTGATTCGTTAACAATATAAAAATATATAAAAAAATGTACCCAAAGTGAATTGCTTGCAACACATAAAATGCTCAGAAATGTGTCTGGGTTTTTGAGAACTATTACCATAAATTTAAGTAAAATCTACCTCCGGGACCCTTTATGCTTTACTGCTTCTCCATGAATCGCGAAAATACCGCTGGCTGTTGCTGCAATGAAAAGGTTAATGATTTAAGTCACATATGGTATGTACCTGGTATTCGTGTGACGTCATAACACAAACACTTTAGCTTCATATTATTAGCTAATGAGTTTCTGTTTTCATTCATATAAAAATCATTGAATAAACAAGTTAAATGGTTTTTGTGATACACAAATAATGCAAGTGGCATACAAACATACACATTGTTGTTAGATAAGCCCAGTTATAAGAAAACATTTGTTTTTGTATGTGTTTATTTGTTTATGTCATTTAATATGAAATAGCTAGGAGCATTAACACTTTTTCTTTCCTTATAAATAAGACATTACCAATTGTAACTAACCGCGAGTCACAACTAAAATTTACCGTTAAAGCAATATGGCCACAAATTGGAAAGCAGCAATGCTAAAGGTGATGTTGCTAGCATTTTTCCAGTTCGCGCGATTTTGTGGCCTCTTTAGCTTTACTTATCGCAAAAGGTCAAATCCTGAAATGTATCCACAAACATTCGACTTATTAAATCGTAGGAATACCGTAAAATACACCGTTAAGCAATGCGTGTTGTGCAAATGGTTTTTTGGCATAGTGCGAATGATGGGAGCCATCGTCTATATTTATGGCACACTCATGATGTGGTACACCAACGATCCGTTCTATAATCTCATCACATTCCTGCAGACCAATCTGATGGCTACCGGTTCTGTTGTCATGAGCATTTGCTTGCTGCGTTCGGGCAAAAAGTACGTCCATATCATAAATGACTACTTCGGTTTATTTCGACGAGTGCAATATTTGGCGCCACATCGACAAGTAATGGGTATGCATCAGTTGATGTTCCTGCTAATCATAGTTATATGTGTTGGGAATGCTGCACTTGGCTTTCTTTTAATCTTAAACTATACGAACTGGCGGGAGGCTGTTGTAGTTGCGACCAAGCTCTACCTCGAAATTGGCTTAGTGGTTAACTTGCATATAGCAAGTATCGGTTATATGAGTATTGGTGCACTCTACAACTATATGAATCGTTATATGCGCAAGGATCTTTTACCCAGAGCCAGATGTTTGGATCATGTGCTAAGACGTAATAAAACTTATCGTCCGCCACGTTATGCGCGCAAGCTCATACGTTTGACCAGAGAACTGAATAACTGTGTCAGGATTTATAATGATATTTACAATCTTGCAATGAATTTTCATCAAAGTATTCGTTATCAAATACTATTTGCTCTATTATTCGAATTTAGCTTGCTTACGACGGTCATTTACAGTATTCTGTATATCTATACACTGATCACAACTATCGAATGGGACGCGGTGTTTTTTTGCCTAATTATCATTATCGAAGTTCTCATAATGATTTTGTCGGCATATTCAGCGGTTCAGGATGGAATTGCGGCTAATAAATTAAGTTTGGATACGGTGTACATGGGCGGCGATACGGAATGGAATCGAAGTGTAAGTAGATAAATGAGATTTCCTGATGCCTAAAATAAATTCTTCGAAAATATTGTAAACTAAGCAGGTATACTATTAGGTCTATAACTATCTTCGTGCGGTGTGCCAAAATACTGATTATTTTTAGTCTTCCTCTTCTTTACTGGCGTAGACACAGCTTACACGATTATAACCGAGTTTACCACAGCGCGCCAGTCGTTTCATCTTTTTGCTGTTTGGTGCCAATTCGAGATACCTACCTGGTATCTCCAACGGAGTGGAGATCTTTCTCTTCCTCTGCTTCCACCGGTTCAACTGTAAACTTTCAATCCTGGATTATTTTCTTCCATGCGGACAACATGACCTAGCTAGTCCAGCTGCCGTCTTTTCATTCGCTGAGGAATGTAAAAGTCATCGTATATCTCGCACAGCTCATCGTTCCACCGATTGCGGCACTTGCCGTTGTCAATGCACCAGGGATCATAAATCTTCCGCAAATTTTTTCTCATTCTTAAAACCGCCTCATAAGTTCCATATAACAGAACGAGAGTAATGAGGGACTAATAGAGTTTGGTCTATACTTTTTAATTGTTTACTCAGTCCAAAGTAGCACCTGTTGCCAAGAGTGATTCTGTGTTGGATTTTAAGGCTGTCACCATTACTCGATGGATATTATTACCATTCAACAAAGAGCTTTCATGGAACTACTAACACAGCCCTATGCGCGGAAAATCATACGTGAAACCTGGTCAGAAAACAATATCACAGGGAAAGCCCAATTTCCTGGACGTCAAGGTATGTTATGTTCTGTATTTGATAGCATCAGCGGGGCATTATGAGTTTCAAAGACCAGCGAAACCATTAGAGTGAAACGTCACCTACTAAAACTCATCAAATTAAGGTGAGCAATTGTCAAAAAATGCCCGAAACTCGCTACTGGATATGTGAAAATAATTTTCCATCATCACAACGCTCGTCCTCATTTTACAGGACCGAGAGGGAGGAGGTTTCTGCTTGGAGCTTAGAATGATAGACGTGGAATGCATCGCGGTTTTAGGTCTATTGTGTCCTCTTCTAAATCACAAAGGCTAATCTAGCTCCAGCATATTTTATAAACTTTAATATACTAGGTGCTAGCGAAGCGCTGTGATCCCTTTTTGAAAACATAAATTCAAGGCTCATCAACCTACGTCTGCAGACTGCTATCAGAACCGCCTATTTACGCAAGTAGCTAGGACCATGACAATGCGACACGTAGTCTGAATTTAAACCCGTTGAGGTTGTAACCACTCATTAACACTGCGCATGCCTTGAAGTTGTTGTCAATACCTCTACCTGCCAGTAAATCTTCCTTCATCGCGGTGGGACCCTATACCATAAATGTTTCAGGTCCTATCATGTTAGCTTATTCTCCGCTATACCTTTGCGACCGGGCAGGTAGGCTATTTAGCCCTTCTCTACACTCCTGCACGAGGAGATTGCTTTAAGTGTCCAGACTTTGCCCCTTTTTACCACAATTTGTTCCGGTTGATGCAGACCACCCCTAATGGCATACGATCCACATCAGAACAGGCTTGATTCATTCTTCGCCACCAAGTCAACGCAGGATTTTCGGGATGGAAGCAACAAATTGCCAGAAAGAAGGAAAATATTATAACCTCAGAAGGGCTATACTTTAAATAACACTAAACATTAAAATTTTTGAAAATAAAAAACAGAACGCACGAATGTAATTGTAGTCCCAATATATTCTAACAAAATTCAAAGGTCTAATATTGCTTTAAACTGCCGATATTTTAAGTGACATGTTATTATATGTTTGCTACAACGTTTCTGAAACACTTTAAAATATTTTTTTTTTTTTTAGGTGGAGCTATTCATCAATCGCATGAATCTATACGAATTTAAACCGAATGTCTTGGGATTTTTCGACATTTCCAGTGATATTTTGGTAATGTTTCTCTCGGCTTCCGTCACCTACTTAACCTATATACTCCAAAATACAAAACTAAGTCAAAAACTATAAATATTGGCGCGCGTACCGGCAACCATGCGAAGCCATTTGTGGTACCGTTGCGGTTGTATGGTATGGCAATATTCCGTGCGAAACACAAAAAAGAACACAGGGGTCCACAACACGCACACCTATGAAAATATCTGAATATATAATTACAACAATCATATCAATGCATATTACCGGCACATATTACTCTGGGATGTGATTTCAACCCCCGAGTCAAGTTGCATAATCACCTGGCGAAACAGTCAACTCACATTTCCTTTCTACAATAATTGCAATCGGCACGAGGTCCACCTGTCTCTCGGGCTGCGGCGTCCGCGTTCGTGTGACTTACTTGCATGTGAGGAAAACGTTAAACCACATATTTTTAATATATAATCAACTACACACACATACCCATACATGCATATATACGTACATGCAACAGCAATAATAATGCAACGCTTTTGCAATCCTAGTCGCGAGCATGGTGCACCATGGAAAGTTAGTTGAATTGCGGTACGCGTCCGTGTCGTGTCCAAAAATTGCGGTTAATAGAGCGGTCCGTTGCCTACATCTGTGCCACATTAACGTGCAACCTACGTAGAAGCCGTGACGCCGGCTGTGTCTGTGAAAATCCGATGGGAAACAGTTGAGACACGTTGCACAATTTCATGCAACATACCAGTGGTTTTTTATGTTCACACAAACATATATACAAATAAATATTCGCGTATTTACAAATGCAGGCATCTATAGCAATTGTCATGATAGTTACTTTTAGATTGTACATTACTTGAAAATATTTAAACATCATACTTTTTTTGTAGTTTTAATAAAGCTTTGCACATGTACTAGTATACGTATTTTTGTGTGTATGTGTGTGTACCTGTAAGCAGGTGAAGTTGCAAAGCACGCAAACAACCGTTTGTTCTCATAATTACTAAATTTGGTCAAAGTTTTAATTATTTAATGCACCAACAACAATGTAGAATGATTAAACACTACATATATGGTATACATGCACATTTCATACATACATTTAATTTATACATACACACAATATTTTTTAAGATAATAAATGTAATAAAAGAAAAGCTTTCCTAAATTGATTTGCGCTGAAAGCTTTTAATTTTGTTTCTTTTATTTTGCGGACTTTTTAGTTTCGAAAAACATTCCAAAATCATCGGACAAACAGTTAGCGAGCACAGACAATTCACATGTGGAGATCACAGGAATATGAAGAAGGTTGAACCAATCTAGAAATAAATTTTATTGCTTCGGTTTAAATAGAACAGTGTCAGTCACACTTGAGTGGATCACATATCCTTCATATTCGCTTCATTTTGAAGTAGGAAAAATAAATAGATAAGGATTATACCGCGACTTCATCATGCAAAGATTTACGCTGCAACAACGAGTTGAAATTAAAAAAATTTACGAAATTCCGAATCAGCTCAATTTATGCTCGTCTTAATCATCCTGTCAGGTCAACAATTGAACGTCTAGTGGAAAAATTTGAATTCAAAGGCACAATACAAAATGTTCTCGTGCCAGTGCCGCTAGCGCATTAAGTAAGGAATAATCAAATCAGTTTCTCACACGCCGTTCTCAAACGTTGGGCATTTCTATGACGTCGTTAGAAAATCAAATTGACGCGAGAACTGAAGCCGATTGACCACCAGTATCGTCGTATGTTCATAGATTGGGCTGAGCAACAACTTGAAAATGATGAGGCTCATTTCTGTCAGGCAGCAATCCATAGATACTCCATGAGTCACCATTGCATTCCGAAAAAATTACGGCTTGGTGTGGTTTATGGGCCAGCGGCGTCATTGGGACGTAGTTATTCCGTGATGTTCAAGACCGGCATGTTACTTTTAATGAGAATCGCTACCGCTCAATGATAACCGAATATTTTTGACCTGAATTGGATAATATGGACTTGGGCAATATGTGGTTGCAACAGGACGGCGAAACAAGCCACACAGCGAATGTCACAATTGATTAATTGAAAACCAAGTTTGGTGAACGTGTTATCTCACGAAATGGCCCAATCATGGCATAGATTGTACTTTCACAGGAATAAAGAGCAACGCTCTTAGCTCTGTTATATATCTGTTATATTTGCGAACTAGTCTCTCAGTTGCTTAGTTATTGTTCTGCATTTCATTTCTCTCTAAGCAGCTGCTTATCGGAACCGCCGATATCGGACAATTATAGTATCAAATGCTTAGATGGAAAGCTTTTTCATTTGACGAGCCATCTTTTCAAAGATGGACATGGTCTACTGCCTAAGCCAAAGATGCAATCTCCGAAAAACTTGTTTAGATCGGATGACTACAGCATATAGCTGCTATACAAACTGACCGATCAAATTTGGAATAGAAATATTTTATATAATTTTAAATTCCATAAAAATTCACATGCGATCACCTAGTATCTATGCGCACTTATAATCTATTCTTGTGACTTAAGTCGATTTGAAGTGCTATTTGTTTCAAAGTAAGAACGAACTGTTTGTTTAATAATGGGCAAGCACTTGGTCGAAATTTTGCGACCTTTATCACGTATTTCGTTAATATAAAAATGATCAAACTTTACATTACATTATCTTTGCCTAAGTGGCTTGCAGAATGTTCTATCAAAACATACATACATATATACACACCCTTTATACAACAAACATAGGCATGTACATACGTATATCCAAAATTTACAGATATTTACAGTGTAAATGAGTGTTTATGTGAGCACATGTATTAAAGTCTTCATAAAAAGCCAAATACTACTCAAAATCACATTTGAAGAACGCAGTTACTTAGGTAATATACATAGTGTATATACAGTGAAATAACTCGTATTTGCAAGGGACCACAATTTAAATGCGAGTTATGGAGTTTTTCAAGTTATCAAGTTATACAACTTATAGAGGAACATACAGAATATACGAATTATAGAGTTTTTTTAAATTTATTTTTTCAATTTTATATAAAAGACAAGAAATGATTGTATATATTTAAATTTTAAGATATAAAGTACATATGTTATTCAATCAATATATATATGTATGTATTTTGAAAAATTGTACAAAAAAATTAAGAAAAGTGTTAATTTTAAAAGAAATCCGTAATATGTTTTTGACGGACATTATTTTGGCGTATTTTATCTATGCATTATCAATGTATACAATGTCATTAAAAATAGTGTTTTCAACATTTGATGCCATGAAAAAAAGACGCAAATTTTCAATTGAAGCTTTCGCAACCTTTGTGGAAACTGAGGGAATTTCAAATGTTTCACCGTTTTCATCGTCGATGTTTTCGAAACCCAGAATTTCATCATCATTGAGGCTTCCAGTAATCACCAGCTCATCATCAACATGAATGTAGTCATCAAAGTTTACACGTGTTTCTGCATTTTGTGGAACAAGAGCCCACTCTGCTATGTGAAGTACATCTTCGCTCATTACGACTACATTTTGATCCTTAACAAAACCGCAAGCTCGAAAACAGTTTTTAATAGTCGATTTACTGATACTTGTCCAGGCTTTATGAGCAATATTCATTGCATCATAAATCGAACTGGAAAAAAAATTGTGAAAAAAATACGAGTTGTAGAGGCTTTTGATACACCTTTTTAAATTTTTGTCTCAAGAAAAATGCGAGTTATCAAAGGGATCGAAATACATGCATTTTCGCGAATTTTTCTAGGGACCGAAGAAATACTATGAAATATCAAGGTTTTTCGCTTATCGAGGTTACGACTTATCGAAGTTTCACTGTACATACCGTGCATTTGTAGGGAAAGCACAACATACTACCGAAAAAACAGTGTACACTCCACACATCTTTGTTTATGATTGCATTTGCTTTTTAATGATTACTTCAGTACGGTTCTTGAAGCAGTTAATACCAATACTTTTTGCTCTACACACATACATATACATATGTTATATATATTTGCATGTACTGTATATAAAATTGTAGTAAAATCCGGGGGTAGGCAGGTAACAACCACTATTCACCGAATAGCCACAATCGCCACAAAGTGAGTGTTTAACGGTCTAAGTGGTCATAAGGCATAACCTAGTGGATATGTGTATAAGTATGAGTATGTGTGTGTGTGTGTTTGCTGCAACATTTACGATCATAGTGTGTATATATTTATATACATCTGTACTTATGACCCGCCACTGGTTGGCCAACTTATTATAAATGCTAATTATATGCAAATATAGGTCGCAATATAAACTGATCCATTGCGGCAAGTGCTTCCCGGTGCGCCGCTTTGTGTCCCTCGCTCCGTTGGCGGACACTTGTGTTCAATGTGTTGCTGTGAAACGCATAAATTTTATGCACTTTGCATTTATCGCGAGAATAGTTCGTACGTCTGTCTGTTTCCATATGCATATACTAAAAGTTGATTTCAATGCTTTAGCATAAATTTTATGCAAACTAATTTACATATTTTTCCAAAGTCTTCGTGTAGTCAAGTGCATTTCGCCGCTGAGCTTGGGAAAATACCACCGAAAAATCGTTATGCCCTTCAATTGAAATTATAACGGCTATTTAGGAACGATAATTAAAATTTTTTTATGAATAATAATAGCAGTGCTTTTAGTGCACCTGTCATCTGTGGAAAATCTAGGAAGGCTTTTGGCGGGAAATCTTCTGACTGCAATCTTATTTTGTTTGACAAGAAATTTTTGTGGTAGATTTTATACTTCTCCTTATAACGCTATTTCGAAAGATACAAATTTTTCGCACTTGTTAATATACTTAGACACTGTTTTTTCCTAAATTTACATCTCTGCCCGTGTTCTAGCTACACATACATATGTATACAAAATATCTTATAAGGTGTTTATTATGGTACACAGGCTACACAGATGCTTTAAACTTTTTCTTCTTTACTGACGTAGATACCGCTTACGCGGTTATAGCCGAGTTTACAACAGCGCGCCAGTCGCTCTTCCATTTCGCCAAAATTAGTATAATGTTCTATTAAGGTTTTATGTATTGCCG